GCCCTGAAGCTCTGGGCTTCATTCTGGACGCCTCCTCTTGGGCTCTCACTCCCGTCCTTTTCCATACTGACCACAGTGTCACCCCTAAACCTGCTCATCCTAACAGTCGCCATCTCGGGGGCCCTTGTGATTCCCCAGTTCCCAGACCAGAGCCCTGGGCCTATCCCTGGACCCTTCCCTCTCACCCCTGCCCCGGCACACCAGCCCCATGGCCTGTCCGCTCGGTTCCTGAGCATCCCTGTCCCACCCACCCTCTGCTCCCCTTCCACAGCCCCACCCTGGTCCAGCCCCAGCCTCCCTCACTCCTGGCCACCAATCTTGGGGCCACTTCCAACTCCAGCCAACATGGCAGCCAGAGGGAAATTTTTAAGACAGATCATAGGTTCAACCCTCAGGCCAGAACTTGGGTTTGTAAGCAATGCAATGTTATGTTTTATTAATCCATTTCTGGGTTGAGCCTTTATCCCACCATAGTGGGAGGAAATTTAACCTGGTCCTTTTTAACCCCATCAGGTTGCAACATGCACCCTGGATTGTCACCGGGCCTTTTCTCCCCTGCTGTCTCAAGGCCTCTTCTCATCCTGAAGTTTCACCTCTGTTCTCAGCCCAGTGGTCACCCAACTCCGTCTCAGTCCAGGGAAGAGCCCGAGTCCCTCTGTGGCCTGTGAGGCCCACTCCCCCCTCACTCAGCTCCAGCCTGTCCCGCCTCCTTGGTGCTCCCTGAACCTCCCAGGCGCCTGCGCACCTCAGGGCCTTTGCCTGCCTTTGCTTTTGCCTGGGACACCCCTCCCCAGGTGTCGGAGTCCCTGCCTCGGTCAGGTTTCTGCTCAGGCGTTGCCCTCTTTGTGATTCCTTTAAAAGTACAACTCCCTTCCTGTCTTATTTTCAGTCTGATACCATACACCTGTGAACTAAATAAAATCACACACCTCTCGCTCACTGAACAGACCCCCTCTTGGCCAAGGAGACCCCAGAGAAACCTTAAAGCTGAGCTCCCAGCCACAGTGGGAGGAAATTGAACTTTACAGGATGGGAGGTCAGACAGACCTCATTATATCCCCTCCCTTGCGAAGGCCCATCAGGCTTTTGTCTTTAAGGCTAAACTGAAACCAATCTCGTGATCTACTCCTCCCGATTTCTGGTTTCAGCACTACAAGGACCCAGCATTATTTCCTGGTAAGAGACCGTCAACCCTGGAATGGTCTTAACCAGTCCACAGAGCATGCGCAGAGAGGGTTTTCATTGTCGCTGCTTCACCTTTTGATACCACAGGGCCGCCATTTTCTAAACATGGACCCCATAAAGGGGCACAAAGCTCGATTGCACGTGTGCACGTCTGTCCTTTCGTAAATATTCATGACCCCTCCTATAGCTTATTAAATATGTGTATCTCTCCATGCCTCTCAGTATAAATTCCTGTTCCCATTGTCCCTGCCTCAAAGCACCGGTTCCTGGCTTCTAGCCAGGGCTCTGCTTTCTATGCTGTCAGAATGGCCACCCACAGGCTGCAACCCTTTATGAGAAATAAAGCTCTCCTTTCCAAGTTTATGAGCCTCCTCATTTTCTTCAGTTAACACATCAGTGGTTCTTAGCAGTAACTTATTAAAAATGCAAATTCTAGAAATAAACTCAGACATATATATATATGCCTTGTGAACTAAAATAAAATTTTAAGGCTCACTCCCCCTCACCGGCTGACTAAATGGACCCCCTAATGGCCAAAGGAATATCCTAAAATTAAATTGCCTGCCAGGAGAAAGGAGGTCAGACATGCCTTATCATGCCCCCCTCCCTTCTTGGTGACATCCCTTATAACCCATTAACAGGCCGAAGGGTATGCAAGACACACCTGCAGGTCCTCAATTTACACAACAAATCTGTGTCCATCGAAACATTCCAAGCCTTTAGACAAAGCTTCATGTCTTTAACCAATTACAGGCCAAAGAATCTTTAAACTCACCTATAACCTGTAAGCCCCCCCCCCTTCGAGATGGCCCACCTTTTTGGGCCAAACCAGTGTATGCCTCCCACGTATTGATTTATGACTTCACCTGTAACCCCTGTCTCCCTGAAATGTATAAAACCAAACTGTAACCCAACCTCAGCGAGTCCACTTGCTCAAGGCCTCTTGGGCGTGGCTCCGGGTCATGGTCCTCGAATTTGGCTCAGAGTAAATCTCTTTAAAATTACTTTACGGAGTTTGGTCTTTTTTTCCGTTGACAGTTCCATGGGCCATCCTAGTAAATTAATTGAATCCAAGAAAGAGGTTGTGGGACCCCCCCAAAGCCTGTTGATCAGAGGTACAGGTTAAAACCTGGGACATGCGGTTGGCGTCTGAAGTGGGGGACAGCATTGTGGGACTGAGCCCTCAGGCTGCGGGCACTGATGCTCTCTCCGGACAGTGTCAAAATTGAGTTAAATTATAGGACACCCAATTGATACCGGCTGGAGAAGTGTATGAGGAAAAACCCACACACGTCTGGTGTCAAAAGTGTTGTGTGAGAGTCAGAAAAGAAATTGTTTGGTTTTCTGTTTTTTTGGTTTTTAGAAGGAGAAAAGAAAAATAGCTCAGAGCAGTCTGAGCTATGAGAGGTTTGCAAAATTTATCAGGCCCAGTGAGACAAGAGTAGGGGACCTCAGTCACACCACCCCCAACCCACGCCCAAGGGCAATTTGTTTAAAGGTTTTCTCTTCCTGACTACCTGCCTCACCCGTTATCTTCTGGTTCCTGGAACATGTGATACAAAGAACAATGTTTAGCCAGTCAATAGCTTGTTATTTTAATGTAAATTCTCGGTAAACGATTTAGGAACTGCCTATTTTTTTTCCTTTAAAAATCTACTTGTGGGCAGAACCTGTAATCCTAGCACTTTGGGGGGGCCAAAGTGGGAGGATCATTGGAGGCCAGGAGTTCAAGCTCAGTCAGGGCAACATAGTGAGACCCCATCTCTACAAAAAATAAAACATTAACCAGGTGTGGTGGCACATGCCTGTAGTCACAGCTACTCGGGAGGCTGAGGCAGGAGGATCGCTTGAGCCCAGGAGTTTGAGGCTGCTGTGAGCTAGGATGATCGTGCCACTGCACTCCAGCCTTGGTGACAGAGTGAGACCCTGTCTCTAAAAAATAAAAATAATAATAATAAATAAAAACCCACTTGTAACTGCTGCTAATCAGATCACATATTCAGGACAACTTGAATCTATGTTCCCTAACTGTGTTACAGCGCGTGTTATGGTGGGCGGTCCCGAGGACAAACCGAGGGGTACACAGAGAGTCGGACAATCAAAGTTTATTCGCTGGCGGGCTCAGAGGGGTCTCACCACCAAATTCTGAGCCCCATCTACCCGATTTCTCCCACTTTTATGAAGTTGGGGTGGTCCGAGGGGGTGGGGTCTCAGGTGGCTGACTTGCCGCCAGGTAATAGGTTAGTTGTTGTGCCAGGTAATAGGTTTAGGGTTATGCTGATGCGCCAGGTGATAGATTAGCATTATGTTGATGTGGGTCTTCCATGAGGGGTGGGGGTCTCAGGTGGCTGATGCGCCAAGTAACAGATGGGGTTTTCCTTATCAATTGCAGTCCTCAAGTTCGGCCCAAATAAACTCTCTTCTCATATGAAATTTGCCTTGTTTTTTTTCCCTTTAGGTCAACTAGAAAAACAGGAAAACCTTCATGACATTGGATTTGACAATGATTTTTGGTAAGGGGTTAATATCTAGAATACATAAAGAATTCCTGGCCGGGCGCGGTGGCTCACGCCTGTAATCCTACCTCTCCGGGAGGCCGAGGCGGGCGGATTGTTTGAGCTCAGGAGTTCGAAACCAGCCTGAGCAAGAGCGAGACCCCGTCTCTACTAAAAATAGAAA